CAATTTCCTCTGGGTGGATACTCTGTAGTGAATTCCAAAATAAAACCTAAGTAAAAGGATTATGTGGTTATTATCTGGAAAATGTGGCCAGTTTTGACTAAAACAAATTGATTAGTCTGAAAGGAAAGAGAGCATAGAGGGAGAGTGTGTGTGATATGAAAGCTAGGAAGGGAAAGGTTCACCATTGGAACATAACTTTTAAAACACGTATTTCCTTCTCGGTCAGCATTAAGATGGCTCGGTAAGAGGTCTACTCTTCTCATTATGCTTCCTAACTGAACATCTTGGGGCTGGGTTCCCAAGAAGATGCACTTTAGGAGACAGGCATAGTCATATATGATTAATGACAGGTTAAAATATTTATTATCCCCTAGGGATTAAGGAAGATCCAAGCTACATAAGGAAAATAACAGAGGCCACACAGTAAGTTAGATCATTATGCCATTTATTAATCATTTATTTTGATTAATTGTACAAAGGATGATGACAATGATACTGACAATGAGAGAATAAGACAGATGTGCATCATGTAACACAGAATGAACAAAATGAATAATTTTATTTATAATGTTTAAAGCAGTTTTGAGTAATGACCACCACACACACACACACATACACCTACACACTCATGTACATAATTGTGAAACAAAATCCACATGTTCACACTTGACTGATTTTACTTTATCTTTAACTTCAGACTTGTTTAAAAGTTTTCCACCAAGAGTCTGTATGACCATTTTATTTATTTATTTTATTGATCATTTTATTGGGGTGCTCTTACAAATCTTATAACAGTTCATTCCATTGTATTAAGCACACTTGTACATATGTTGCCATCAAAATTTCCAAAACATTTTCTTTCTACTTGAGCCCTTGGAATCAGCTTCTCTTTTCCCCGTCTCTTCCCCCACACTCCCACCCTCATGAATCCTTGATCAATTATATGTTACTATTGTCAGTTTGTGTCTTATCCTGTCCATTCTCTCCCTTCAGCCACATTTCTGTTCTTCACCCCCCTCAGAGGGGCAGGGGGGGCTATATATTCAACCTTGTGATGGGTTCCCCTTTCTACCCATCACCTTTCCCCCCACACTGACCCCTGCCCTCTTGATAGCGCTGCTCCCACTACTGTTCCTGAGGGCTTTATCCGTCCTGAATTCCATGTGTCCAGAGCTCTTATCTGTACCAATGTGTGTTCTCCAGACTAGCTGGGTTTGTAAGGTAGAACTGGGTCATGGTAGTGGGCGTCAGGAACTCTACTTCACAGGAAGTGCTCAGGAACTGGAGGAATGAGGTGTGATTCATTGGTGCTGTACTGCACCCGGGTTGAACCTTCCTGTCTTTTCTGTGGTTGTGGGCAAATGTGGCCCTTTCGGTGCCTTATTGCTGATTGTTCTAAAGAGCACATCTTGCAGGGGTGGTTGTTGGTTTTATAGACTCCAGTTTCAATTTAGAAGGTTGTCTCATGCCAATCGTCTCATGTCTCCATGAGACATACGTCTCATCGTATGTTCTTCTGATCTGTGTGTGTGTTGTTTTGTTTTTTTGTCTTTCACTTTTGTTCAACATTTTGGCCCATTTAACTGGGGGTTTCTGTTCTGGTTTTGGTCAGAGTGGTAAGTACTGGTGGCTGGGCACCATGTAGATTTTGCCTTGGTTAGAGCAGGCAATGGTTCATGTGGGCCGTTAGTTCTGTGGACTAATTCCTTCTTCGAGGAGCCCTCCTTTTCCTTGGTTCTCCTATACTCGAGGCAGAGAGCGACCAGAGCTCCTATAAGACGGCTGCTCTCCAGTCCTTAAGACCCCAAGGACGATTAGGACTGGCTGTAGACAATATCACTTTGTACTCTGATCTGTCAACCGACCTAGATGTGCACCAGGACATTGTCCTCAGACTGTGGGTCAAGTGCTTCAGTCCTGAGGTCTACATAGTTCTCTCTATGATCAAGTATATATTTCTGCAGCCTTTGCAAATATGTGTTTAGAAATATCAAGGACCATACCTTTACATATACATTCATGAATGTACTCCTATATGACCTCCCTCATATTTAGCATGCATATTTACCTATATATTGTGGGCTATTACTGCTCTTGCAAGACGGTACACAGCATGACATTTACCTTAAGTGCCCTTTATTCCTGTGCACCTCTCAGTGTCTCCTTTTGCCTTGGTCACCTCGTGCTGGCCTCCCCAACCTTGGCTATTGTCTTTCTTTTCACTAGAATTAACTCTTGTCTGCTATCTAACTACTATTCCCTCATCCCTACTTCTAGGTAGATAGCAAAGGACATTTCCTTCTCTGTGTAGTCTCTTTTTGTCTTTTAAAAAATGTTGGTCTCATAAAATACCATGACAAATAGAGTATTGCTGCCATGGTTCGAGTGCACCTGTGTTGCCGATAGCTCTGAGATCACTGGATGTTTGCAGACTTCTCTCAGTAGGATGCTTGGCTCAGTCTTGTAGGGTATTGTGGTAGTTAGATTTTAGATCAACTTGGATTTTTGTGACAGTACAGGGATTTAATCCAATATGCCAATCAAGATACAGCCTAATTATGTCTCTTTGGGTGTGTGGTCTTCTTATAATGGAGAAACCGGGAGCTTTTCTCTCTCTCTTGCTCTTTGCCTTCATCCTTGCTGGGACTCTGTGTCTGCCTACGGGCTGCCCTACCCTGAAAGCTGTCAGTGCCCTGCCATGTTTCCACCAACCTCTGAAACTACTGGCCTATGATCTTCCTGTATCCTCCTTCCCCTTTCTACATCATCGCTTGCTGCTATATGAGTCTGAGTCGGCCTCTGGCTATAATCAGACATATGGACTTAACTTGGACTGGGCTGGGATGTCTTCTTGATATAAAACTACTTCTTGATATAAAATTCTTGTTTATACAGATATGAATACCACTGATTTTATTTCTCTAAAGAACCTGCCCCAGCACAGGAAACTTCTTTTGAAAAGTTCCACGAAAACAGTGGCTTCTAAGTGAATCTGCTGGGCTAGTTAAGATGAGCCATGAAAGCCAAGGTAGTTAGCCCTGCAGAAACAGGAACAGGAACAATGGTTCCTTGAGGTTATGGGAAGAGGGGTGGTGGTGGTAGGAAGAGCGAGCTATAGTGTTGATGACTCTATAGCCCCACTGGATGGATGGGATCCTCAAACAACAAAATTGCATGTGAGTGGATATATTGGATTGTAAGGTATGGCCACCTACTACTCCAAGTCTACCACGGGGTGGGGGTGGGGTGGTGGGGGGTGGTGGTGGCAGATTCCTTGGGGGTAGAGTGGAGGAGGGAGGCGATAAAGGGGAGCTGATGTCAAGGAGTTCAAGAAGAAAGAAACTGTTTTCAAACTGAGTGTGGTAGTAATTGTATAATACTGCTTGATGTGATTGAACTATGGGATGTTCTGATAGCTGTAAGAGCTCCCGATCTTGATCATTTTTTGAAGGGCACAGGACATGGGGTTTATTAGGAAGGGGCTGTAAGAAAACAATGATGGAAAGGTTGCACCAATGTTTTATTTTCCTTCCGTCACAGCCATGTGCCTGTTCATTCTTCGGGGGCAGCAAAGGCCACCCTCTGAGAATGTTGCTGGGTAACAGTGTACATCCCTGATCGCGCTCCTTCCGGCTTCTCTTTTATTCCTCAAATTCAGAGTATATTTAAAAGGAATACCATTTTGTTCTCTCAAGGATGTCCAAACTGTTATTTTGATGTAGTAAGCAGAAGAACACAGAATCTTCAGGGTAGCGTTAGAGGGAGAGAAATATCATCTTTAGAAGTGCATAGGCCTAAATAGAGAGTAGGCCCAGAAACAATAGCGTCATATTTTGATATTTTTGTTTAAGGAAGGTTCCAATGATTTTGTAGTGGTATCTTTTCATTTACCCTCCTACAATATCTTGCACACATTTAAAGTGTATAATTTTATGAGTTTTGACAAATGTGTACACCTGTGAGACCATCACCACTCTGTTTTTCTGTGGGCTAAAATAGCTCAACATTCTCAAAGCAGAATGGCCTCTGGTAAACATGTGCCTCCAACATTCTCAAATTCATTTATTTGACCTTTAGAGATAAGATTGAAAGATTCCTTTGAGTAGATATCCCTATTTACTAAAATAATTATGATGTCTGATAAATAATAGTACCTTCTGGAATTTTTTTTTTTTTCGCTAAATGAATTATGCTTTCAAACTGCTAAAACATTTTGTTTGACATTACTAGTGTGTTTAGTATGGCAAAGAACTTGCATGCCCTTGTGGGTCAGACAGTTGATTTGAATTTTTGGAGCCGATTATAGCATAAGAGATTGTGCTAGTTTGGACTAAACTGAGAGCAGAGATGAAAAGCAGAGGATGGATTTGAGGCAGGTTCTCTGGCGGTGGAGTAGTTAGCCTTTTTGCTTGTATGCGTGTGTGTTTTAAAAGCCCTGGGTTTTCTTTATTATTTTAAAGGTTACACACACAAATACCGTCAGCTGTTTTGTTCCCTCTGACTTAATATCCTTGTCTTCCAATACTGTTTTTATTCAATTTAACAATCTAAAATTAGCTGGGTCAATTCACCACTATCATTCACGGAAGCTGGCATATTGCCCATGGGGCTGAGCACCACTGAGTTTCCTGGGTTTCTTTGGGTTTCTGCAGCTGCACACTGCCGAAGAACTTCCTGCTTCCGTTCCGTGTCTGCGCTCCTATCAGCCGAGGCAGCTCCTCTCACCTCCCTCCCTGGTACAGCTTCTTCGGACCGGCAAATGTCCTGCTGTTCTCCATTGAAATTTCGGTACCCACAGATAATTGTTTTGGTTTTTATTAACTAGAAATAATAGTTTGGAACAGAAAACTGGGTAAATAGTTTCCTAATCATGCCGATTGCTTATTTCATATGTAATGTAAAATAAATGATGACTAGAAATGCAAGCTTTGTGACAACACATGCTGTCTGTTTTCAATATTTAATGGAAAATACACTTTTCCCCTACGAGGTTTAGAAGTATGGCAGTGACAACTCAGTTAACATGGATGCAAGAAAAGAATCCGCAGAACTGTGGGGAGGAAAGCAGTTCCGTCTTCTTTATAAGGCTAGAGTCCATGGATTCGACACACGTCCCTTCCTCATCAGTGCTTGAAGCCGGGCTCTACACGAACGGTGCGTTATAGTCAGGATTATGCTGCTGGGCCTTATATGCCGGGATGTGACCACAGGTCCTGTCATCCTTTCTACATTTCCAAGAACGGAGATGTCAGGATTTGAAAGAAGACAATTCAGCATGAGCAGCAAACCCAACAGTCAGCTGTTTATCGATCAAGATGCAGTGTGCTGTGGCAACCATCATCTACAAAGGGACCTGGTTACGAGAACGTTCACCACCGACCCCACTGTGGCTGGAATAACTGGACTACCTACAGGTCAGATTTCTTTTCAAGAATGTGAAGTTTTCCGAAGTGAAGGTAGGTTAATCAGACAACCCTGTAGCGTTTTTCCTTGTATGTTTAACAGATGTCAGCTGATGCATCTAGTTAAGGGGAAACAACTTAAAATATAAACTCATTTGAACTTTTCGGGGTCTTTTCCGTTTCCTGTATCTCTATATGTTCTTTAGTGAAACCTGCTGATAGTTGGTTTGCTAGAACATCGTGGCGGAGTAAAATACATAGCTTTCTCCAGTCTGTGTGAGGGTAGTGCGGAGAGAAAAGAGTAGAAGGGAAGGGAAGAGACAGAGGGAAGGTAGAGAAAGAGAGAGAGAGAGGGCAACAGACAGGAATGAAGAGTCAGAGAAAGAGAGAGGGAAACTTAGATTGTGAGACTCTAATGCCCTCTTGGGAGGAAACCAGAGGTTGAATTTGCTTAATTGCACTGGATACATTTTGCTGAAATTTCTCATTTGATCAAATGACCATAATTGGACTACATATTTTGCAATGCTTTACTTTTAGAAACAACACTTGTCTAATATTTTTATGCATACAATTTTGTTCAAAAAATTATTTCTTTAGGGTAACTTCCTGGCAGTTTAAAGACTATGTTAAGTTTGCATTTTGGTAGGCACAATATAAGTTTCAGTTATCCAGAGAATCCCCAACAGTGTTATAGAAATGTCTATTTTCAGGCCAGAGAAGTGAATAGCTTAGCTACCATGCAGAGTGCACTGGAACGTGGGTTGAGGCAGATGCAAGTCGATTAAAATTGAACACCTTATCTACCTTCTCACCTATTTTAATACGTTCTCGTTTTTACTATTCTCTGCTTTCTTTTTGATTAAAGTTTTCTGTTTTACTTTGTCATCATTGTTAGTTTATTTTTCTTTTTGGTACGTTTTTCTGTATTTGAAATCCAGGATGGGTAAATAGACAGTACAGTGGATCGGTCATTTCTTGGGGGTATGGCAGAGAAGGGTGAGGTGGAATGGGGAGCTAACAACAATGAGTATAAGAAAGAAGAAAATGGTCTGAAATTATCGTGGTGATGATTGTACAATTCTTCTTAGTATGATTGAACTGTTGAATTGTATGATATGTGAATTATATGCTAACAAAATGGTTTGAAAAAAATGTCCATTTTCCACACTTTCTTGTCAATTTTTGATGTTATCAAACTTAGCATATTTTCCAATTAGATGGTAAAAAGGCAGTTTCTCATTTTCATTCATGTTATCACTGATAGCAAGTTCATGTGTATTGGTAATTGGCATTCTTCTATGAAATACTTGCTTATCTCTATCCTTTTAAAGTAAGGGCTCATGAAAAACATAGTAGCCCCTGAGTGTACGCATGTTCTAAATTATTGTCTGAGGCCATACTACTTGAATATCTCTCAAAACACAGCCCTTAGATTGCCTTTTATTTATTGGGATTTCATAAATTTCCATGTCACGGATGTTGCTGTGACAAAATCCTAAGGCCAGGTTTTTGCTTCTGCTTTTCCTTTGTGAGTGATTTGATCTTACTCGTTGGTTGAGCGCTTCTGTCTTAAATTTATTATTGACTCCTCTTAGTTTACTGTAGGTCACACGGTTGAAAGTACTGATCTCTTAGCACGTAGACATAAAAGAGAATATTGCTTACCATGTTTATTTAAATTTTTAATTTCATGTCTCATTACTTTTTTCTGTCTTTAAATACTTGTTAATTCTGCTGTATATATATCATTCATTGTTCATTATGTAACATAATTATGAGTTTGTTGACCATTCATTACCTACTTTTTACAATGCATATTTTTTCTCTCATTTCTTTTAAAATCAAATTCTAATTCAATTATAACAAATTGAGAAATAAAAAAAGATAAGTGTACTAATTGACAGATTTTTACAAATTGATTATACTTATGTAGCTGCTACTCAGATAAGTAAATTGAATAGTACTATTACTTCAAAAAACTGGTTTATTACTCCTTCTAGTTATTAAAGATAGTTATTATTATTTTTTATTACCATTTCTCCCTGATTTTGTACTTAATATTAATGGACCCACAAAAAATGTGATCTTTTATGTTCTCTGCTTCATTCAATATTATATTGATTACATTGAGCAATACATAAAAAAGGATGGAAAAAACTATTCTTCTAAAAATTCGATGTTCACATCATAATTCATTGTTAATTTCTTTAATGAAAGAGATCAAAATTTCAGAGGAAGCAGGAAGACTGGAATATTCTGAATGCTTCCCAAGAGTATTATGTTCTTCTGAGGCATATAATTTCTGGCCTAGGACAGACAACAGGCAGATATTTTTCACTTTATATATTGGAGGATGGTTAGATTAGGGAAGTTCATTATTTAACACCCAATTTACATGAAATGCTTCAAAAACCCAGATTTATTTACTGTAAGAATCCCTAGCCAAGGAAGCCTATTACAGAGATTCTAGAAATGAGAAAATATCAATAATCTATTAATTAGGAGGTACAGTAGTCAGCATATTTATAATAAAGTAATATGGGGTCCTAGATCTTCTATCATTCAATTTCCAGCTTCATATCTATCACCACAGTTATATTTTCCAATGACTTTGTTTCCAAATTCTTCTACTCTGTTTCCAAATTTTGCATTCCAATGATCAGTAATTACAAATACATTTTAATTGCATGTTTAACCAGCTTCAAATTGATCATTGATAGAAGTATTCAATTTCTTCATCATTGGCTCTCATGGTTGGTGCATATGTATTAACAGCCTGACTTCCTGGTAGGCGTAGAGATATGATCCTATCACCTGCAGCATTGTACTTCAGGAAGGAGTTTGAAATGTTCCTTTTGCCTGTGAACGCCATGCCATTCCCCTTGCAGGTGTCCATCCTGGACAGGTAAACCAGGATTGTCCTACTCAGAAGCCTCAGACCAGGCCGTGTCAAGTCACCAATGCATGTGATTTGGAGCTTTGTGCATTCTAATTCATTTTTGACAATTTCTAAATTTTTCTACGTTTATACTTCATACTTGCATAGTCTAATGATTAATGGATGTTTGTAGCTGTTTCCTCTCATTATGCCCCAATAGTAAATGATGATCCTTGAAGGTCTATCCATATCATAAGCAGTCTCTAAAAATGTGAATTTTTATAGGGAGTAAGGTTCGATATAAAGACAGTCATCCATCTTGCCTATAGTACCAGTCTGTCCAACTCAGATAATGGTAAAGGAAATTTCCAGAATTTCTTTCACTTTCCATTATAATACACTGTTCTCATGGGAAGGCTGTTTATATATTTGCTTCTAATGAATTCATTCACTTTCATTCATTCAGACAGTCAGCATTTCTTTTTTTTTTCAAGTTCAACTTCCAACAACTTTATTTTGGTCGTATCCACCAAGGGCACCAGTCAGCACGTCTAATGCTTATTATTTTATGATTATTGTCCTAGACCTATTGGACAAAAGAACAGTAGAGGGGCTCACTATGTAAGTTAATATTTTTAAACTGCCATTACTATATTTATTGTATCAGTCTTATTCGATCATAGCTTTGGCCAACAAAATTAGTAGTGCCTCCAAGAACATCTATTAGCTTAAAAAGATCTGATATTTTAATGCTAAAACAGATCAGTGACTACCCAAACCATTTCTAATATGCTTTATTTATTTGCAGGAAAATAACTCCTGGGTTGCATATCTGAAGTTTTGCCTAGGATTCTTGAAGTTTCATTTTCAACTAAATTAGGAAATTATGATGGAATGGGTGTTATAAGAACTTCAATAACATGTTTAAAACTTTCCACTTGCATAAACTGCACATGTAGTACTGTGGCTTTAAAAAAGTCTTTATCAATAATTCACATTCATGTTTGATGTCATATTTATTCCCAGTTTATGTACTTTTAGATGACGGTAAATTTGTGTGTACGATTGCTTTTAGTTAAAATTATTCTTTGATTTGAATTTCTCTCACCTACACTTTGAGGTTGGGTAGACTGTGAATTACCTCATGTCTTTTTATACAAGTCAAGTAGCTAACAACAACAAAAAATCAATAAAGTGAAAACAGAAGAAATTTTGTCTTTGCAAGTAGTCTTAGTCTATCATTCACACTTGTGTCTACACAGGCTCAGGGAGAACTTACAACCCACTTCGAGGTGTGGTTCACCAAACTCGGATTCTGCTCCTGGGTCTGACTGGAGCTGGACAATCTAGTTTTACTGACTCCATGAAGTCGATTTTCTGAGGTCATGTGATTAGCTAGGCTCTGGTTGGCTTTGACACAAAGCAGGTAAGGATACTTTTGCTCATTGAGCCTTTGCTCCTCTGCTCAGTTTAATTTGGAAAGCCATTTGCTGATCAAATTCATTATATGTAGAGTTAATATCAATTTACAATTAAAAAAACAAAATTTTCATTTTTTTGTTCTATAGTTCAAGACATATTCCCTTAAGGATGGTAAGGACAGAGACCCTCTACAGTTTATTCTTTGTGATTCAATGGGGGTTAATGAGAAAGATGAGGGGTGAGGGGCTGTGTATGGACGATGTATTTTACATCTTAAAAGGCCAGATTTCTGACAGATTCCAGGTAAGAGTTATCAAATCATTAGATGCTATAATTGGTTTAAAAAACTGTTCCCCCCAATATCAGGCCTTAGTCTAGCTAAGGTATCTTAGCATTTATTTTCATAGCCTATGCTTATATGGGAGCCTTTATTCCTTTTTGATATTTTATTTTATAAAGAATTTATAAAGAAACTGCTATCTAAGTAACTTATCAACCAATTTCACATGGAAGAAGCACACCAGCCTGTGTGATCTAAGGATTGTAAATAATAAAATCCAAATTCAAAGGAGGGGAACGGCATCAGAGCTTAAATTGTGAACACCTGGTTTTCAGGAAACTATGGATGATAGTGGAAACCCCAAATCCATTTGTAGGGCACACATGAATCTAGTTGAATCTTCCCTGATCATAGTTGAGGGATGTGAATAGTCCTGTTATCAGTCTGGGAACATTGTAAAATTGATTATGACAGATGTAGTGAAAATATCATATTGTCTCCTTTTATCTCCCCTTTGACCCATTTTCAAGTTGTTTGGGTTGGAAAAAAAAAGAAGAAGGGGAATTACACATAGTTTAATCCTCCGGTGCATCCCCTGTGAGCAAGGGATTCTGGTCATCTATGGACCAGGCATGTGAGTAGCCTGCTATCATGAAGAGTGCATTGGAAAGTAGATGCTGCAGATCAACAATACATTTTAACATCTTATCGTTAGTCTTCCCGTTGATCCAGTTAAAATTTGTTCTAGTTTTAATATTTTCCTCATTCTTTTTGACTGAGGTTTTCATCTGTTTTATTTTGATGTTGTTGTTAGGGTTTTTAAAAATGATTTTCTGCATATGAAATCCAGGAGAGGAACATCTGTAGATTTACTGGATGAATGGTTCCTTGGGGGCTATGAGAGGGAGGGTGTGGGGAAATGAGGAGCTAACAACGCTGAATAAAGGAAGGCAGGAAATGCTCTAAACGGATTGTGGTGATGATTACACACATCTTCTTGATGTGACCAAACTATTGAATTGTATGATGTGAGCCGTATCTGACAAAAACTGATTAAAAAAAGAAGCCTGTGGCACATGGATTCTGTGTTGGGATACTAATGGAAAGGTCGGAGTTTGAACATGCCAGGTCCCGGTGGGTAGGGATAAAGATGAGGCAGTTACCTTCTGAGACTGTAGAGTAGTTCTACTCTGATCACTAGGATCTTATTTTCAACTATCTCTCTCTTTTTTTTTTTTTTTGGTTAAAATTTTATTGATCAATTAGT